CACATTTGAGTTCTTTCAGAACTCTTGGGTGAATGCCATCTAGTCCCGGTGACTTGTTACTGTTAAGTTTATCAATTTGTTCCAAAAACTCCTCTAATGGTACCTCAATCTGGAACAATTCCTCAGATTTGTCACCTAAAAAGAATGACGTGTGTTTGGGAATCTCCCTGACATTCTCAGTCATGAAGACCAAAACAAAGAATTCATTTAGTTTCTCCGCAATGACCTTATTGTCTGTGAGTGTTCCTTTAGTCCAGTGGCCCCACAGGTTGTTTAGCAGGCTTCCTGCTTCTGGGGTACTTTAAAAACATCTTATTACTTTTTGAGATTTTGGCTAGCTGTTCTTCAGACTCCTTTTCAGCTTTTCGTATTACATTTTTACACTTAATTTGTCAGAATTTATTCTTTCTATTTTCCTGACCAGGATTTAACTTCCATTTTTTAAACTATGCCTTTTTATCTCTTGCTGCTTCTTGTACTTGCTGAAGCCATGGTGGCATTTTTTTGGGTTCTCTTACTGTGTTTTTTAATTTGGGGTATACATTTAAGTTGGGCTTCTATTATGGTGTCTTTGAAAAGTTTCCATGCAGCTTGCAGGGCTTTTACTTTTGGCTCTGTACCTTTTAATTTCTGTTTAACTAACCTCATTTTTTGTAGTTCCCCTTTCTGGAATTAAATGCCACAGTGTTGGGCTGCTGAGATGTTTCTTCCCACCACACAGATGTTAAATTTTATTACATTATGGTCATGATTTCCAAGCAGTCCAATTATATTTTTCCTCTTGGACCAGATCCTGAACTTCACTTAGGAGTGAATCAAGAATTGCCTCTCCTCTTGTTGGTTCCAGAATCAACTGCTCCAAGAAGCACTCATTTAAGGCAAGGGTGGGGAACTCAGCCCCAAGGGCTAGATGTGGCCCCCAGCTTGCCTGGATCCAGCCCCCAAGGCTCAGGGCCCTCCTCCCCGCTGTATTGGGGAGCCTGTGCTGGTACTCCAGCCCCCTGGTGCCCCGCCACGGGACTGGAGCACACAAAATCAACTATGTGGGGGTCCCCTAGGCTCTGGTGTGTGATGGGAATATGGGGAATGTCTTTCTCCTTCTCATTTGGGCACCACATCAGTGAGAGGTTTTTGTGTGTGGCCTTCGACTGATTTTTCTGTGGGTCAATGGCCCAGACCCAAAAAAGGTTCCCCACCCCTGATTTAGGGTGTCAAGAAACTTTATCCCTGTATCCCATCCTGAGGTGACATGTGCCCAGTCAATATGGGGGATAACTGAAATCCCCCACTATTACTGAGATTTTTATTTTTTATGCCTTCTCTAATATCCCTTAGCATTTCATAGTCACTATCACTATCATGGTCAGGTGATATGGAACATTTTGGTTCATTTAAGATTTTTACTTCATTTGATTTTATATTTTCTTTCATGTATAGTGCCACACCCCTGCCAGCATAACCTGTTCTGTCCTCCTGATATTTTTTGTACCCTGATATGACTGTGTCCCATTGATTGTCCACATTTCACCATGTTTCTGTGATACCTATTATGTCAATATTCTCCTTTAATACGAGGCACTCTAGTTCACACTTTTTATTATTTAGACTTCTAGTGTGTGTGTATAAGCACTTCAAAAATGTGTTACTTTTTAGCTGTTTGCCATTTCCTGATGTGTTTGAATGGCACACTTTTTTATTTGACTTTTTCTCATCTGTTACCCATATTTTATAATCTTCCATCCTCTCCTCCTTACTAGAACATAGAGAATCTCTATTAATAGACTCTCCACTAAGATATGTCTCTGTCTGATCCATGTGCTCCTCCACCCTTGTCAACTTTCCCCCATCCCTTTAAAAAGTATTCTACAACCTTTTTAATGTTAATGCCAGCAATCTGGTTCCATTTAGGTTTCTGTGGAGCTCGTCCTTCCTGTATAGGCTCTCACTTTCCCCAAAATTTCCCTAGTTCCTAATAAATCTAAGCCCCTCCTCCCTAAATCATCATCTCATCCACATATTGAGATCCTGAAGTTCTGCCTGCCTACCTGGCCCTGAACATGGAACTGAAAACACTTCAGAGAATGCTACCATGGAAATCCTGGATTTCAATCTCTTTTTTTTCCTCCAAACATTTCTTTCCCTTGGAAGAAATTATGGTGTGTTTATATTCCCTGTTTTGTGTTTAGCTTTTCATCTCACAGCACATTGTGTAACATTTTCTTGTTCTCCCTTAAATTACTTGTTAAGTGGGCCAACATACATTGGATCAGATCCTCTGTTCAATATATGCACATCTACTCCATAATATAACCGAAAAATTATATATTTTACTTGGAGCTAAAAATGTACTCATCACATGCCTTTGAATGCTACTGTCAGCCATGTGACATCTCTATCAAAAGCAACCTGTTACAATGTATGGGCCCAATCCTGATATTGACTTGCTCCATTGATGTTACTGACTACTCAAGTCAGTAAACACTACTCATTTAAGAAAAGGATAGGAAGATAGCATTCCAAACTGTAATCTTCTAATTAGCTTATCAATAGAAATCATGTCAGACTATTTACAGTCCTGCAAAGCCTGTATCCAGAAAGACTGACAATAAATACATTTCACTTAGACATGATCTGAACTTGTCCTAGCTACATCATATGTGAAAAATCCTCACATTTGAATGGCATACTAATGCAAGTATAGTGATAGAAATGTAGCCGTGTTAGTCTGGTGTAGCTGAAACAAAATACAGGACTATGTAGCACTTTAAAGACTAACAAGATGGTTTATTAGATGATGAGCTTTTGTGGGCCAGACCCACTTCCTCAGATCAAATAGTGGAAGAAAATAGTCACAACCATATATACCAAAGGATACAATTAAAAAAAATGTTTCATACGTGTTCACTTTTTTTTAAATTGTATCCTTTGGTATATATGGTTGTGACTATTTTCTTCCACTATTTGATCTGAGGAAGTGGGTCTGGCCCACGAAAGCTCATCATCTAATAAACCATCTTGTTAGTCTTTAAAGTGCTACAT